TGGGTTCGAATCCCACCCTCGTCGGTGCTTTTTTGCCGCAGCGCAGGGGCAGGTGGGGATTTCTGGAAAAAAGCCCACTCAGAAATCCTTAAGAGAGCTATTAATGCAGAAGGTGACTGTTCAGCAGTAAGATGACAACCCTCGGGAAGAGGAGGGTGCGAACTGGGAGAAATGATGCATGAAACCATGGTGAAATGGAGTGAGGGCAGAGAAGATGGGAAGTGATTTCTATCAGAGGTGTCGGTGAACGTGCCTGTTCATTTTAACTGCAGAAAAGAAAGAGAGAGCAAAAGGCAGAGTGTAAATACCGTCTTGCACATGGTGGGAGCCCAGAGGAGGAGAGGAAGGCGCCCCGGCCCCACGCTGTCCCAGCCCTGGTTAGCACCAGGGTGTCCGGTGGCTCCGGACGAGCTGCCTGGAGAAGGACCCAGTCACAGAGCTGGGGGATCAGCCCCCTGCACCCCACCCAGCCCTCTTCTGCAGCTAGTCCTGGCCATCTAACAGGCCTGAGCACCTCTGGGAAGGTACCTGGGATGCTGCTAGGTCCCTCCTGCCAGTATAAGAGCCTGGCAGGCTGGCTGCAGGGAGGGCAGCCGTGCCGGGGGGACAGGTCTTGCTGCTACTCGAGGGGCTTGCAGGTGCCGCAGGGCAGGAGCAGGAGCCAGACCTGGGTGGGAAGGATGCTTGGATCATCACCATGTCCAACAGGGGAGACTGAGCCTGGCCAGAGATGTGCCCCAAGGGCTCCTATGCCAGTGGCGTCAGCTTCAAGGTGCAGCCTCCGCACCAGTGCCCACAGCTGGTTTGAGGACCCCGCTCCCGTGGGGAATTAACCCCCTACCTCTGTTCCCTCACAGGTAGAGGCACCCCAGGGGGTGATGGAGGACGACACGACACTCAGTGGGATTCAACTGCACTGCTCCCACGGTGGGGACCCCAGTGGTGGCTACATAGCTGAGTCCCAGAGTGGCAGGTGAGCCCCCAGACCCCCCCATCCCCTCCTCGTGATGGGAGAGCTTCCTCCATGGCTGCCCCCACCTCCAAAGGGCTTGCAATCTCTCCTCCTCCCACAACCCCTGGCCTCAGCACCATCTTCACTCTTGCCCATTTGGTGGGGCCACTGGTCAGAGCCCCACTGGTGCCCCCACTGAGAGCACCTGGTGGGCTGCAGGTCCAAACACCCCAGCACAGGCTCCTGAGCGATGAAGTGGCCACCACCAGTGCCCACTTCGCCTGCTCTGATGGGCACATCCTGGAGGGGCCGATGTCGGCCTGGGGCCAGTGGGGCAGCTGGAGCCCCCAGTGCCCCAAGGCAGTGTGTGGCATCCAGCCACGGCAGGAGCCTGCACAGGGGCTGAAGAGGGATGACACAGCCCTGAATGATACGCATCTCTTCTGCTGCCCGTAACAAGCGCTGCTAACCCACCGCAGGGCACCCAATCCCGTGACCTGGCTGCACAGCATAACCTGTGTCCAGGGTCCCCTTTCCCAGGATCCCACATCCATTGGGAGATGCCTGAGCCCTAGTACCCTCAGGGGGCACCTTCCTTTCGTCCCCATGGGTTCTATCATTGCATATCTGCTGCTGCTGGCCACCCAACACCTACCCCACTTCCCAGAGATGCTCCCAAGTCCCTTCTGCCCCCACTCAGACTTCCAGATATTCCCCAGCATCTCCAGGACTGTCCATGTCCTACCCTGAAATAAGTTTTTGGTAAGAGCATGCACCCAGACTGCACCAGAGCAGCTTTGTCATTGGGAGGGGGCAAACTGGGACAGCAGAGCAGAGAAGGGAGAGCCGCGGGCAGCCCTGCCAGGACACAGGGACACGTCCCCCACTAAAGGGGGTAACCGAGAAGTTGCAGCTGGATCCTCCTCAAAGGGCAAAAGGATGGGAGGCTGTGGGCACTGGAGGAAATCCGGTGGGGACACCGGGGTCCCCTGCTCAGGGCAGAGACCTTAATCAGAGCCTCCAGCTTGGGGTGGAGAGGAAAAAAAGCCCACAGACCCAGGCACCACTGGGAGTTGAACCCAGGATCTCCTGTTTACTAGACAGGTGCTTTAACCAGCTGAGCCATGGTGCCTACCTGCCCCACAGCCATGGGGTGCCCCATAGCCATGGGGTATGCTACAGACATGGCATCTGCCCAGCCCCTGTCCCATCCTGCTGCCACCCCAACACCAGGGTCACCCTGCAGGACCAATGGGCCCGGGCGCAGGGTTGGGATCCCGGGGACAGTCCTGTGTGTCACGCTAAGCTCAAAGCCCTGGTGACTGTGGGGTGTCTCTGGGGGATAAAAGTTGACAGCCAAGTCCCAGATAAGTTCTGTGCTGGCAAGGCAGGAGTGGGGCAGTGGATGCCCAAAAGAAGGGCTCGTCCGGGAGTTGAACCCGGGACCTCTCGCACCCTAAGCGAGAATCATACCCCTAGACCAACGAGCCAGGGTGTGCAGGTCTGTGGCCATCCCCATCCTGTGCTGGACACTGGGGTGCTGGCAGGGACACTGACGCCCAGGGACCCTCATGCCCCAGGCACTGCTTTTTGGGATGGGCCCTGCCACCAGGCCTCGGGGAGCAGAACAGGGCTGAGCGTGTGTGCAGGCATGCACCAGGCATGCACCAGCCACCCCGGAGACTTCCCCACTTGCCAGG